TCACTTCTTTCTTTCAGAATGAGGCGAAAAGTATTAAAAGAGGTGAAAATCACTCCAAGTCTGGGCATGTTGAGAGCTGTGCATACACACAAGGGGAGTTAGTCGGTTCCTAAGAGCCAGCATGCAGGACCGGGATTCTGGGATTTGTAGTCTTTCTAGTTGCGTATTTTTCATAGTCTTATATTTCAACAGTTTTACGACAAACTGTGACTTTTTTGACATGGAAATTATTTTTAAAGATTGACAAACATCATATGTGTAATTCGTGGCACAATTCAAATCTTTCTCTCTCCATTGACTTCAATACATAATTTTTCCGAAATAAGGTCCCATGGGTCGGAAGTAGATGGGCGGGACTTCGCCTCTCTATAGTGACATCAATATGCAACACATTGTACGTGATAGGCTAAGGGGCGGGACATCTCTGAGTGGTTGACCAATCACAACAGAGCAGACTGGGCTCTGGTTTCAGACAGAGGGTGTAAAGATGTGCCGCAGCACAGGCAATATGAGAAAAATAGAGAGCTTTTTGAACATTAAATCATGGAGACATGTCACAGTAGAGACACTACATACTAATATGAACCTGAAAATGAGCGTCCTCTTTAATGCAATGGCATTAAATAAAAAGTCATCGTGCAGACTTTGATTGCCTCCAAGAAAATCCATTAAATAGATGTTGAGATAGTCAGCTACATTTAAAACTCCATTAGCACTCGGATATTAAGTGCTAGTGACACTAAACGTCTTTTTAGTTCCTTATAACTTGATTTATGTCAAAGTACCCCATGGGGTTCCAGTACCCTCATTTCAGAAACTCTGGCTGATAGCTCTGAAATAATTAAATGACTGTAGAAATGAGATTAAATGCACTCACGTAATTGAACCTGGAGCAGTTCTTGAACATCAGCAGCACGTCGTCCACAAACTGCTCGGCGCTGAAGTAGTGTAGAGTGTTGCTCTTGTCCAGTTTCCTGCGGATCAGCGACAGGTCGATGGGCCTCCGGATGATCTGGTAGTAGTTTCTGGCCTGCAGCACATTACCAGACATTACAGCATTGTGAGAGAGACTGTTGTCATTTTAAATATGCTTGAATGAAAGGTAGAGTACAGTGAGACTGCAGGTTGTTTTAACCACTCACATAAGGACTAAAAACAATACAACCAATAAACCCCCCGGATAAAGTCAGGATAATCTTGAAGATGAAACTTAAAAGACAACACTGACTCAGACGATTTAAATATTAATGTATATAGATATATATTTGTTAATATGTTTAGATGTGAATCTGTTGTACTGACCAGCGTGCTGACAGGTTCATGAAACGGGGCGCTGAGTGTGTGACAGTACAACAGCAGAGTCAACTTCTCACACCTCTGCAGGAAACACACACACACGGTTACTAAAAAACATATTTTCAGTTGTACAAATGTATGTGGTGAGGGTCAGAGTGACTCCCCCCCTGCAGCTCACCCTCTGGTCCTGGGGGGAGAGGGTGTACGGAGCTCTGACTCCCCCACAGGAGGGCTGCTTCTCACAGGCGTAGCTCTCTTCAGGATCCTGCTCAGTTCTGCACAGCGAACACACCCAGTCCCCTCTGCAGGACACACGGGACACACACAGGACACACACAGGACACACAGGACACACAGGACACACAGGACACACACAGGACACACACGGGACACACACAGGACACACACGGGACACACACAGGACACACGGGACACACACAGGACACACACAGGACACACACAGGACACACAGGACACACACAGGACACACAGGACACACACAGGACACACACAGGACACTCATTACTTCATTAAGCATTAAAGGTCCCCTGTTATAGTGTTTCTCATCAATATATTATAGTTCTCAGATATATAGAAACATGTCTCTGAAGTGTTTGGCTCCAAACACCAAACAGATCATTGCAGCATTACCCATAATCCCCTCTGTTTCAGCCCTGTTTCCAAAGTGCTGATTATCTGTCTTTTACTTTAGATGAAAACAAGGAGCCCCTCCCCACGGGGAAGACATTTTCCGAAAGGACGGGATCGCTAAGTAGAAGCGAGTCACACATCGACCGGAAATGACCAAATAAGTCGGAGCAGCCAACCAAAGGATTTCTCTCAACAACGGTCCACTTTGTAAGAAATCCCAGACACTGAGCCGAAGAGGGAGAAGTAGAGGGGCCCATAAAGCGTATGAGGAGCCGTACGGAGCAATTCATCACCGCAGACTACAACATAAGAAACTGTTGCCGGTTGAAAAAGTTCGTGTATGGTTTCCGTCATCCCAAGGGGACACGAGTTGTTTATTTATAAGATTGAGGGTGGAAAGTACTTAACAGACACCAGTGCAGCTGGAAAGAAGGGTCACCCAAAACTCTCCTGGTACTACACTACTTACTTCCTGGCGATGCGAAGGGTGAACCAAAGTGAGGCAACGAACGACGCAAAGGATCGTTGGGCCGACCGACGGACGATACCATCGGGTACACCCGGTTTCGCGCGAAACCATTTCTGTGCGCCCGGTGTAATTGTAATGTATGACTACCAGGTGAGCCCCCCGGTGTTTTACAGCCGGCC